CCGAAGCACCCAACACGTGTCCAAAGCAGCCTGGCACACCAGTGGAACCTCGATGGGCCACAGGCAAGGCTTACAAGTGCAGACCCAAAGGCGCCCAACAAGTGTCCAAAGCGGCCTTGCCACCAGTGAAAGTCCAGATACAACAAGTCTTCAAACTGGCACTGGAAGCTCACTTGGCCTCCAGGCAAGGCCGCAAGCGGTGGGAAGCAAGAGATTGCTCCAGCACATCAGCGGAAGCATTGTTACAGGCCCGGCAAACTGAAGGAAGGGGCAGGAGAGCTGAGCACTTCTGAAACTCAAACACAACCCCCAGAGCAGAAAAAAAGCCAAAGCCACCACAGCAAGAGGAAAGGAACCAGAAAGACACCACCAGGAATTGAGCCGAGGACCGTGTGCTATGAAGGGCGACGCCTTATCCATTACGCCACGGAGCTCTGTCAGCAAGGCGGCGCGGGAAAGAATTCTGCTTGATCTGGGCGCTTGTCCCTTTGCTGTGGGGCTGCTGGCGGGTCGGCCTGAACTCAGCAGGCTGGCTAGGTCAAGCAGCCCCAAAGGTCCAAGCTGGCCCTGCCACACCTGGAGCCACAGGCAAGGCCACAAAGTGCTGGGAAGCACACAACCTCCAGGACCAAACAGGTCTCCAAGCTAGCCCTGCCACAGTGGAAGCTCACCGGATCAGCAATAAAAGTTTCCAAGCTTTTGGGAATGATGGGGTGCAGGTGCTGCTGCACTGCTGGTGCTGATATTGTTGTGAGGCGGTCGCTTTATTGTAGGGGGGTGTCCTAGCTAGCAAAGCTGCAGTACTAGGTACCATGCAGCAATGAAAACCTAAGCTTTTCAGTGCAAACCCACAAGAGCAGAACACAAGTTTGGGGTTGCTGCAGCAATAAAAGTTTCCAAGCTTTTGGGAATGATGGGGTGCAGGTGCTGCTGCACTGCTTGTGCTGGTATTATTGTGAGGTGGTCTCTTTATTGTAGGGGGGTGTCCTAGTTAGCAGGGCTGCAGTACTAGGTACCTCAAGAGCAGAACACAAGTTTGGGGTTGCTGCAGCAATAAAAGTTTCCAAGCTTTTGGGAATGATGGGGTGCAGGTGCTGCTGCACTGCTTGTGCTGGTATTATTGTGAGGTGGTCTCTTTATTGTAGGGGGGTGTCCTAGTTAGCAGGGCTGCAGTACTAGTACCATGCAGCAATGAAACCTAAGCTTTTCAGTGCAAACCCACAAGAGCAGAACACAAGTCCGGGATTGCTGCAGCAATAAAAGTTTGCAAGCTTTTGGGAATGATGGGGTGCAGGTGCTGCTGCACTGCTGGTGCTGATATTATTGTGAGGTGGTCTCTTTATTGTAGGGGGGTGTCCTAGCTAGCAGGCCTGCAGTACTAGACACCATGCAGCAATGAAACCTAAGCTTTTCAGTGCAAACCCACAAGAGCAGAACACAAGTTCGGGATTGCTGCAGCAATAAAAGTTTCCAAGCTTTTGGGAATGATGGGGTGCAGGTGCTGCTGCACTGCTGGTGCTGATATTATTGTGAGGTGGTCTCTTTATTGTAGGGGTGTGTCCTAGCTAGCAGGCCTGCAGTACTAGACACCATGCAGCAATGAAAACCCAGCTTTTCCGTGCAAACCCACAAGAGCAGAACACAAGTTTGGGATTGCTGCAGCAATAAAAGTTTCCAAGCTTTTGGGAATGATGGGGTGCAGGCTGCTGCTGATATTATTGTGAGGTGGTCTCTTTATTGTAGGGGTGTGTCCAGCTAGCAGGCCTGCAGTGCTAGACACCATGCAGCAATGAAAGCCCCAGCTTTTCCGTGCAAACCCACAAGATTGTGCTGCAGCAATAAAAGTTTCCAAGCTTTTGGGAATGTGGGGTGCTCTTTATGAGGTGGTCTCTTTATTGGGGGGTGTCCTAGCTAGCAAAGCTGCAGTACTAGGTACCATGCAGCAATGAAAACCTAAGCTTTTCAGTGCAAACCCACAAGAGCAGAACACAAGTTCGGGATTGCTGCAGCAATAAAAGTTTCCAAGCTTTTGGGAATGATGGGGTGGAGGTGCTGCTGCGCTGCTGGTGCTGATATTATTGTGAGGTGGTCTCTTTATTGTAGGGGTGTGTCCTAGCTAGCAGGCCTGCAGTACTAGAGACCATGCAGCAATGAAAACCGAAGCTTTTCAGTGCAAACCCACAAGAGCAGAACACAAGTTCGGGATTGCTGCAGCAATAAAAGTTTCCAAGCTTTTGGGAATGATGGGGTGGAGGTGCTGCTGCACTGCTTGTGCTGGTATTATTGTGAGGTGGTCTCTTTATTGTAGGGGGTGTCCTAGTTAGCAGGGCTGCAGTACTAGGTACCATGCAGCAATGAAAACCTAAGCTTTTCAGTGCAAACCCACAAGAGCAGAACACAAGTTCGGGATTGCTGCAGCAATAAAAGTTTCCAAGCTTTTGGGAATGATGGGGTGCAGGTGCTGCTGCACTGCTGGTGCTGATATTATTGTGAGGTGGTCTCTTTATTGTAGGGGGGTGTCCTAGTTAGCAGGGCTGCAGTACTAGATGCCATGCAGCAATGAAAACCTAAGCTTTTCAGTGCAAACCCACAAGAGCAGAACACAAGTTCGGGATTGCTGCAGCAATAAAAGTTTCCAAGCTTTTGGGAATGATGGGGTGCAGGTGCTGCTGCACTGCTGGTGCTGATATTATTGTGAGGTGGTCTCTTTATTGTAGGGGGGTGTCCTAGCTAGCAGGGCTGCAGTGCCCTGGTATTATTGTGAGGTGGCCTTTTTATTGTGAAGAGGGCCAGTTAGTGTAAGCTTCAAAATAGATGCTTGTTGATGAGATTAGGCAGTGGCATGGAATGCAGTGCAGCTCAAAGAGGTGTAGGAGAAAGTTGCTGAGGTCTATCGTGTAGCATTGCAGGAAGCGAGTGCAGGCATTTGGCCAGGAAAAGTGCAGATGTGAGAGGGTGCACCTTGCAGTGCTCAAGATTTGCGCTGCAGCTTGCAGCATGTCCATTGCTTATGCTGCAGGCAGATGAGGAAGGCAAAGCGCTGAAGAGAAGACAGCTGAAGCCTCACTTGCAGGCGAGACTGACTTGAAGGAATAATTACTGGAAGACCTACAAGGGCTGAAATGTTTGTGTTGTTTGTTTCACACTGCTGGTTCTTTATTCCGGGGTGGTCTTGTTATTGTAGGGGCTTCCTCTTTGTAGATATGGCAGTGCAGCTTGCTTTTCATTGCAGGCACGCTTGCTGGCAGAGGATGCTGCTGCTGCGGCCACCATGCAGTTTAGCGGACAAAATGCAACTGTGCGAGCAGTCTGCAGCAAGGGCAGTCTTTGCTGTGAAGAAGATAAAGCCATACTCAAGCATGAAGAGGACTGTAGTATGACAGTGCAGGAATGATTTTTCTGGTAGCTAAAGCGTGCAGGAGCATAGTTGTAGGGGGGTTGCTTTGATGTGGGGGAGGCAGTGCTGGAGTCCAAGAAGCCTTGTGTTTGTTTGCTTGGCCACCGGGTTTGAATTGCAATTAGTATTGGGGAGATTAAAGCTAGTATTCGAATTTTGGGAGTTCTGGCCTCGGAAAAGTTATTATTCCGGGGGGATTTCTTGTGTCAACTGGGGCACCAAGACTAAACTATGTATTGGCTAATTAAAAATAAGTATTGGATTTTTTCTGGCCCGGGGCGAGAAAAAGTCATTATTCCGGGGGGATTTATTAATCAAGTCCTAAGATTATAGGGGATGGCTACTTTTGGTGGTACCCTGCGGGAATGGGAGAAGAAGTGGCCAAGTAGCAGGGATGGCTACGTTTTGCGGCATTTTGTGGGACCCTTGGGGGAGCTTTCTGTTTGAAGAGTAGAGGTAGTAATACTGTGGATGGACGGAATCCTGCACCACCTAAGAAACCCTGGAATGATGAATCTCCTCAAACTAAATACCAACAAACCATTGGTTGCCCTGCAGTAGGGACCACTTCGAATCTCCTTGAGACTCAAAGCAAAGGTAAACTCGATTGCACGTATCCCACGAAGAGGAAGGATGTTCCTCGGACGCATGAATTCATTCCGTTGAGTCTTTCGACTGTCCGGGAGCTGCCTTCCGGCAACTTGACATGGAGCCCCAAAGAGCTACAATCAAAGCCCGGGCAACAGAAGGTTGGCAAAGGCCAGCCCCAGCCATGGAGTGTTCCATTCTGTACGTGGAGGCCTTTTCAATGCCGGGTTGTGATTGTGACACAAAGGAGACTCCTACAAACATGTTGTTTTTGAGTTCCATGTCAATTCGCAGGGAAGAAGTTGGATGTTGAACTGGGCTGCGAGCATCGGAACAAGCCCTTGGGGAACGCTCGACAATGGCCTTGCTGGGATGCTTCAGGCTTTCAGGCTTCGTTTAGTTATTGCAGTCATCCACTAAAATGGATGTGTCATCCATTTTTTGCTGGACACCATGCCGACCACACCACACTCACTTGGCTTTTCAAGCAAGCCCCTACCATGGAAGATACACAACAAAAGCACAAGCGGTAGTTTTGACTGCCGCCCTGCATAGGGTCATGGAACTATCCCCAACAAGCCCGCTCCTTTTTGTTGACCCCCGTTTGTTTCCGCTGTTGAATTATTTTTGGAGTCTCCCATTCCAAGCTCCAAGTTTGCTACAAACCACCAATTTGTTGTTTTCCTGGCAACATGATTTCCATCCAAAACGAGTCCCTACCTTTGTGGATCCCTTGCGCCACCCACGCACTCCTGGCACCTTGTTTAGGCGCGGGTCAGCGGTGTTTCTCTCGGGTTCCCCCCCAGAAGCCCGCTGAGCCACTTTGGGAAGCTGGGTTTCACCTGGGTTCCTTCCGTTCAACCAAAACTGTTTCATCCCCATGAGAACGACTCTGCTGCTGCTGGTTTCAGTGCTGATAGATTCACTTTTAAACCAACAAGGGACAATCAACTGCGTTCTTATCCAGTGCTGAAAGATTCCCTGTAAAACCAACAAGGGACAATCAACTTTCTTTCAGGAGGACTTCATTGCGCGGCTTTGGGCCCTCAGGGACCTGGCCTCGGTGTTCCTCGCACCCTGCAAGGCACGCTATGAGAGATCGCTGAACGGGACGGACAGCCCAATGACTCCAATGACCGGATGAGGTTCCAGCTTGGCTCACCGCTCAGTACCGGTTCTGGGCTTGCTTTTGAGGGTTTTGAGGCTCCGCACTCTTTAGCCCTTTGTTCCCCAAAGGTGCCGTTGAATTCCCAGGGCCGTTGGTTGCAAGCAGAAACCGGAGGTTCAACTTCGGTTTGCGGGCTCCCCCCTGAAATTGGCCCGCACAACGGCAAGCGCCTTCTTCTCTAGTGTCAACTTCTCTTTTCCAATCACACCTTGGGAAATGGAGGGTCTGCAGTCGGGGAGGAAAGCCTGGGGTTTCAAATTCCGATTCGCCGACACGCAAGGGAGCCGTGGGAAGGACATGGCGCTTGATATCATTTGCCAGGTAACCAAGGGACATACTCTTTGAAAAGCTTTGACACTAACAAAAAATCGGCCTTTTGCAAAAAGGCTCCGAATCATCAAATGAGTGTTGCGTCATGTTGGGGTTTCCCAAAGTGGTGATTCAGGAAGCCCTTTCGGTGCCGAAACCTTACTGTAACTGTGGATTTCAACTTGAGTATGCCAAAGAGCATCTTGGTAGGAGCAGGACATGGATGATGAGGAGCGGTCGCGGAAGATCATGCAAGGCAAGGTCCTGCAGTCCATGGTCACAGCCTTTCTGCCGCTTGGCAAGGGCGCCCCTATCCGCTAACCCCAGAGTCTCCATGACCCTTTAAGTTATTTGGAGTTAGGTCCCGAGCCAAGATCTTGTTGGAAACCTTACCTTCGCACGTTCTTGCAATTTCGGCCTTTCCTGAGATGAGGCCCCCGCCGCCGCTTATTTTGTTCAGTTGGAAAAGGGAATCAAAGATAAACAGCCATTTTGCGGTTTAGTGTGTTTCTTACATTTTGGGAAACACCGGTCATGAAGAGGCCGACTGACACCCAGGAAATATTTGTTCCTTTTGCTGAAATCAACCACCCCTTAAGGGAAACTTCACCCCCGCATTTTCTCCGACAATCCTTTTTTCTAGAAGAGCACCAAAAACCCATGTAAAACGACTGGTTCTTCGGAGCAATGGTTGCTTAAAATGGACGAGGACTTCGCCCCTTCTCTCCCTTGGCTCAAGTGTACCTCTTACTCCCCTAGTTCCTGGACTTCTTCCTTTGGGACCCTACTCTAGTGGCAGAAAGTTTGGACCTTTTGTGGCCACTTTCACTTGCGAGACCCAGTGAGATGCTGTGAAAGGCTGAAGCTGCTGCAGAAGGCTTTTCCGCTGCTGCTGCCCGTGACTGCCCTGGACTTGGAGGTGGGATTGATTGAAAATGCGGCCGCCGCTTCGCTGGGGGCGTTTGCATCCCAAACAGCCGTGGGTCAACACCAATGGGATCCCATTTTGGGGTAGGTGAATTCACCACCCATTTTAGAACCTATTTTAGTGGGGATGGGGATGTTCACTGGGGGTACGGGTTTTGACCCATAGCCAAACCACTCGGGGACATGTCCCTTGCCGTAAGCTTCTTGCTTTATGTGTTAGTTTTCAAAGGGACAGGTTAGATCGGCCTTGATTCATTGATTGGTAGTTTGGATTGATGGTTGGAGGATTTGCACTTGCTTTTGTTGAGGGTTGGGGGGCAACCCCTCACCTCCGAACCAACACCGAGCATCAGAAGAGGAGGCCTTGCTTCAGTTATGGCAGTTGGTTTTAAGCAAACAAACGATATTCTAGGTATGTAATGGGATACCGAAGCCCATGTTCTTGGATGTATGATTTGGGAATAGAATAGTGCAATCTCTTTAAGCCTTGGGGCCTGCTTCTGCCGTGACAAACTTGCTGGAACACAGCTGCAGCGATTTCTCTTAGTAACATGAGGGTGGGACATCTTTGAATCAAGGAAATGTCTCGTTTGTGCAGCTGTGACAGCTTTGCATCCGTTTCTCCAGGATGAAGTGCTTCCAGGTCTCATCTTCCACTTGCGGGGCATTGGTTCAGGATCTGCTAGAATTGGCGTGGCTCTCGCCGAAATGCCCAATTCAGAAGAGCTACGCGGTTACAAACAAATGTGGACCTCACCAAACACAAGTTTGTAGAGGATGATTTGGGTTTAAACATGGATTCTAGACAACCACTGCAAACCATGGCGGCTTGGCCCACGTGATAGATTGGACCGTGGGTCATTTGCTTTGGGCTGCACATTCTTTACTATGTGTTGGGTGTGACTCAGCTATCGCCGCTTGACTTCTCTCCCAAAGCCTTTTGGGTCAGCTGAGTTGCTTTAGCCCTGATTCCCCGGTGGGTTGCTGTTTTGTCACACGTGGTGAAGCTTCCTTCCCTAGGAGGCCAGTCAGAAGCGGATCCCAGGAATGCCCTTTCCCCCATTGATAAATCCTGAACAACTGGGCGAACACTGCAACGAGCCCTTAAAATGTTCTTTTTCAATCTGACCGGGGCTCAACCTCACATGTCTGGAGAGTCCGTCTTGCTTGTTTGATTTTGATGGGCGAACTGGGCCGTTTCCCGCTACATATGGTGCAAATGGGGCCCAGTTCCCTGCCTTTGAAGCAACCCTCGAAAAAGGGGTACCTGGGAGTCTCCATGACCGATGAAAAATACGTCCAGGACCCCATTGTTTAGGGTAATGACCCCATTCATGGAGACTCTAGGTACTCTCAACCCGTGTTTTCTGATTTCAGCACCCTCAATGGTCTCCCCCATCTTGCCCTGTCCGCATGCATCCAGGGCAGCCCCCCGCGGCTGAAGCTACTGACGCCAGAATTCCGGGAGACGAACCTGGAGGCCAAAGGGCAAGTGGGGTCCCACTACTAAAGGTGTTTGTTTGTTTCATGTCAATCTGCTGGCCAAAGTTAAGTTTTCAGGATTCGCAGAAAAAAACGGACTTTAGGAAGCTATGGCACCCCCGTGCAGGGGGAGCGGCAACCATTTCTGCTCACGGTTTGATATGTTTGCCCCCATCCCTTTTTGGTATGCAAAGGATGTACTGTATGACCAAATGTTCCAGAGGAATCCGCGGCAAGGAGCCCTGAACACCGGGGCTTACGAATTGCCCAAGTTGGGAGGGGGCCAAAGATGGGCCAAGCTGTGGCATGCCGCCCTGAAAGGGTTTAGTCGAAAGTGCCACTCTTGAGAAGGCTGAGGGGTGCACTAATCCGGCCTTCTTCCTTGATCCAGGGGTGTTCTTCTGGCCATGTTTCCCATTTAAAGCAGCCCCCAAGAATGATGCAAGGGTACCCTCAACGAAAGACTCACACATTGTGCACGAATGTGGGCGACTAGTCATTCCACCCTGCGAGCAAGCGAAGGCGCTATGCGCGCTGGGCAGAGGAGCGGCGGAGGCGTCTCCGCGGCCAATGCTGCACTTGCTAGAGGAGTCGGTGACATGTCGTCTGTCGTGACTTCCTGTTGGTACATTTTCCGAAGTTGCGTTTTGGAAGTGTGTGTGTGTGTGTTTGTGTTGCTGGTGTGGTTTTTGTGCATTTGCCTGGTTGCCGGCTTGTGTGTGTGTGCGTGCGGGCGGGTGTCGGGCGGGTGGCAGCCGGCCTGCCTGCTTGCCTGCTTGCTTCCTTCCTTCCCTCCTTCCTTTTTTGTAGTGCCTTGCTTCTTTGTTTTCTTGCGTCTCTTTTGTGTGTTTTTGAGGTCGTTTGTCCATGTGTTTGTCTTTGTGTTTTTGTGTGTTGTGTTTGTTTGTTTGTTTGTGTGTTTTCGCGTGTGTATGCTTAGTTTTGAGCGTCGTGTGGTGTCCGTGTTTGTTTGATTGTTTGTTTGTTTGTTTGTTTCTTTGTTTCTTTGCTTCTTTGCTTTGCTTTGCTTTGCTTTGCTTTGCTTGTTTGTTTGTTCGTTTGTTTGTTTGATTGTTTGTTGGTCTGTTTGTTTGTTTGTTTGTTGGTCTGGTTGTTTGCTTGCTTGCTTGTTTGTTTGTTTGTTTGTTTGTTTGTTTGTTTGTTTGTTTGTTTTGGTTGTTTCTTTGTTTGTTTGTGAGTGTGTTTGTTTGTTTGTTTGTTTGTTTGTTTGTTTGTTTGTTTCTTTGTTTCTTTGTTTCTTTGCTTCTTTGCTTCTTTGCTTTGCTTCGCTTCGCTTTGCTTTGCTTTGCTTGTTTGTTTGTTTGTTTGTTTGTTTGTTTGCTTGCTTGTTTGTTTGTTTGTTTGTTTGTTTCTTTGTTTCTTTGCTTCTTTGCTTTGCTTTGCTTTGCTTTGTTTGTTTGTTTGTTTGTTTGTTTGTTTGTTTGTTTGTGTCTTTGCTTCTTTGCTTTGCTTTGCTTTGCTTTGCTTGTTTGTTTGTTCGTTTGTTTGTTTGTTTGTTTCTTTGTTTCTTTGCTTTGCTTTGCTTTGCTATGCTTTGCTTGTTTGTTCGTTTGTTTGTTTGTTTGTTTGTTTCTTTGTTTCTTTGCTTTGCTTTGCTTTGCTTTGCTTTGCTTGTTTGTTTGTTTGTTTGTTTCTTTGTTTCTTTGTTTCTTTGCTTTGCTTTGCTTTGCTTTGCTTCGCTTTGCTTTGCTTTGCTTTGCTTTGCTTGTTTGTTTGTTCGTTTGTTTGTTTGTTTGTTTGTTTCTTTGTTTCTTTGCTTTGCTTTGCTTTGCTTTGCTTTGCTTGTTTGTTTGTTTGTTTGTTTGTTTGTTTGTTTCTTTGCTTCTTTGCTTCTTTGCTTTGCTTTGCTTTGCTTTGCTTGTTTGTTTGTTTGTTTGTTTGTTTGTTTCTTTGTTTCTTTGCTGCTTTGCTTCTTTGCTTTGCTTTGCTTTGCTATGCTTTGCTTGTTTGTTTGTTCGTTTGTTCGTTTGTTTGTTTGTTTCTTTGCTTATTTGCTTTGCTTTGCTTTGCTTTGCTTTGCTTGTTTGTTTGTTCGTTTGTTTGTTTGATTGTTTGTTGGTCTGTTTGTTTGTTTGCTTGTTTGTTGTGTTTGTTTGTTTGTTGTTTGCTGGTTTGGTTTGCTTGCTTTTCCTTTTGGGGGGAGCGGGGTTGTGCCGCCGCGTTTGCGTTGCTTTCGTTCCTTTGCGAGGAGATTGAGCTGGGGGATCCCCAGAGCGACGGCGGGGGAGATTTGGAGGCGAGGTCGAAGTCTGAGATCGAACCCAACGTGATGTTTTTTTTTGTGGCTTCCCGAATGGTGACAACTGATTAGTAAACCGCCCCCCCCCCCCCCACCCCCTTCAAGGTTGACAAGGTTTGGACAAGGTTTTGTTTGTGGCTTCCCTAGCCAAGCTGAAACGAGCAACAGCCAAAGAATCACAGATGAGGATTGGTCAAAGTTTCCAGGCAACCAAAGAATGACAACCCATGCCCTTTTGGGAAAATAAGAAATGTGGAAAACACGAAATGTGGACAGTGGCTCATGTACTCAACCAACCAAAGAAGGTGCCTCGATTTTCGCTCATAGCCACTGCGGAGACCCAACACATCGTTACCGTTGCAGCGGTGAGCTGTGAAAGTCGTTGGTTTGTTTTTTGATACCCCAGAAGTCGTCCAGCAACACCTTTTTCCCCTTTCTGTTTGGTGGGTTCCCAAAATTAAATTCTCAAGCCCCAGGGACCATGATAAGTTCGAAAGAAACTTCTGGGTCTTTAGACTGTCTTATGCGACACAGGTCTACCTCCCCAAAAGTAGTAATGGTTTCTGCTTGGAGGTCTGCCAAGCTTGTCCCAAAACAGTTTCGGCAGACCGGGCTGCAAGTTCTTTGGTCATGTAATATACTTCCTTTGGGGTGCAGCAGTTTGGTTGCATTTTGGCAAGCGAGTTGGAGCTGAGTGCTAGTCAATTCGTTTTTGGACATGATGCATGTTGCGTTTAACCAAATGTTGTGATAGAGGGAACATGTAGAAGTTGTAGAGTTGCAAACTATGTAACTTCGCGGAAGGACATATAGTATACTGCAGTCTATCCACAGTATATGGAGGTTGATCAACATTCCAGCCCTCGACAAGGCCATGGGTATTTTTCCATTTAGTGGAACATATCAGCTTATTGTTTGGGTTTTTCTGATGGTCATCCCCGTGTAAACGATCTTTTGATTCAACCCTATATGTCCATCGTACAGGGGAATTGAACAGTGAAGAAAAGAATAGAAAGAGCTCGATGTCATGGAATCCCAATACTGGCCTACCCACGTTGGGTGTCCGCATGTTTTACATCCCCCGTGTCGGGCCCTTTTCTTTGCACTTTGTGTGACCATTTGTGCCCAGAAGCTGTCTCCTCCTTTGTTCCTTGGGACATGAACCTTTAAACCGCCTTCCTGGGGTTGGTCTACGACTGACCTAGACCTGGACCCTTTGCAAGAGCTTGACGATTTGCTAGCTACGTTCGCCGAAAGAGAACATGATGCAAATCCAGGGCACAAAGGCAAAGCGGGGAATTAAGCTGAATGAGCAAGTTTGATACCAGGCTTGGCGGGCCATTGTCCGCACTGGCCCTGGGGACTTAAAAGGTGGAACAACTCCTGGAGCCTCCATGTAGCGGCGTGTGGCCATTTGAGATTCTCTCAACCTTGTTTTGGCCATTGGGTGTTTTGGCCTCTCTGTATTAATCATTGTTTTCATCTTCCAATGTTTTGGAGCTCCAAATCCTTCGCAGATGGCTCTTTGCCGCAGACCTCGCCCCCATCTCGCCCGCCCAAAAAGTCACTATGCTCCTCTAATCGCGTGCCCGGACCGTTTTCCATTCGACCGCCAGACGTCGCCGCTGTCCTTGGCGGTCTTCGTGCTGTTGGCGGAGGTCTCGGCGCCCTCCCTGGTGCCTTTCGGGCTCCCTTTGTGCATCTCGCCGGCCAGGAGGGCCACTCGACCGGGGAAGCGACCGTTGGGAAAGCTTTCCGTGCTCCTTGGGGTGGCTGCACAGAACTAAAAGGACTAACAGGCAAATCCCAGCCTTCTACCCCCCGAATTCAGGATGAGAGTCTCAAACATCTGAAACCTTTGAGAAGAGCCGAGGTGGTTCAGCGTTTCCTTTTTGTATTTGAGGCGAACATCCTGATGCGGAGCAGCTATGTGCTGCTTTGCAACGGGGAGGCCATGCCCGGCGTGGTGAACTTAGCAGATCTTGGCTCGCTGGACGCCCTGGACTCCATGACTAGCGCAACTCGGTCAGAGGAAAAAGGGGGGGCAGTAGGCTAATCCTTGGATATGCCTTGAAAGACCTCCCTTGGGTTGGTAGGGATAGTCAATCTCTGAGATTTGGGGCTTTGGTGAAGGTTTCCCTTGAGGATCCCTGATTGTGGCTTCTGTTTCACGGCCATCAAGGGTTTTTGTCGGCCCCAAAATGGTGCACCCTCCCCCAAGCAAAATATGGAAGTGCAGTGTTCGGCTTTCCTTTGAGAAGTGCAGTGCACAGGCTCCGTTCTCAAAAGGAAAGCCGAACACTGCACTTCCATGTTTGTTGGTGGGAGGGTACCCTGTTTTGGATGTCGCTTTGAAGGGAGACCGTCCCAGGGATGGTGACAAACAGAACTATCCTTCAAAGGATAAGTGGCGAAGGGCTACAGCTTCTATATTGGCTTGTCTGGGATTCGCTGGAAAAGGGACATTGGGCGAGGTTAGTTTTGAGGACAGTACCCTTCTTGGGTGAGGCCACTTACCCTGTAAGAGTCCCTTGAACGTGATGAAGTAGTCGTGAACATGGCCCACTTTGGTATCACAGAGAAAAAAAGAAAGAAGCAACAAGTGTTCGACCGCCTTGAGGTCAAGAAGTCGCGTGAGCCCTGCTGGGCCCAGCGGGCGCTCTTCCTCTTCGGCCACGGCGCTGCACCTTTGCTGGGCCTGGCACAGTCCGAGTTGGGAAGCTCGCTGGGGAGCAGGTGGTACCCAGGCAGGTTGACATCTTCGAAGCCAAGAAGCCTTTGAGCCCAACGTTGTCTTGTCTTGTTCTTGAATGGAGGGCGGGGGCAAGGCAACCCAACGAAACAAATGGCGGCATCGCCCCTCTGCTAGGCTCCGTTTAAAGTGCTCAGAATGATTCTTTGGGGGCTGCAATGAGTCCCAACCTGTACCAATGCGCCTCGCACCATGGGATTGGTGAATCTCTTGTTGCTTAGATATCGTTTCCGGACGACAAAACACATTGGGCTTGCTGGGAGTGAGCCCTGTAGGCTGTTTTGCCCGTTTCCCAGGTTGTCCAGTGGAGGGTTCCACTCTCTAAAGCTCTTTGGCTTGGTGGGTTCGGGACCCTCTGGAAGCGACCCCAAAAAAGTTCCCCCTTTTCTGCCAGGGTCACTGGGCAGCCGGTTAGGACTTTTGCAACTAAGAATCAAAGAGCACTTTGACTAAACTGCAAAGGTGTTTTTCTCCCTTCGATTTGTCAGTGTTCATCCAGTCAATGGTCGGATGGGCGTGCCTTCGCTTGAGCTACCCCAAAAGAGCTTCTTGTCCTTTGGTTTCCTTTTAAGCAGCCCCCTAGAAAACTCCGATTGTTTTCGGGGCTTTTTGTGGTTTTTCCCTCGGGTTTCCTTTGGGTGCGCTGCAAAACACCCACGTGGCACGGCGGCGCCTGGCGACGCGCGCCTCGCGCAGGCCGCGTCTTCCGGAAGATCCTGGAGAGTCTGACCTCCACGCCGGACGTGGAGCAGAAGGCGCGGGGCCAGCTCTTTCGGATCACCGCCAAGGCCATGAGGAGCTTCCCATGGCCCAGCCGCAACTCGGACGTCTTGGAGCGTCTGACGTGGGGGGGGGGGGGGGTTCCCACAATTTGACCCCCGGATGAAGAAACCCCGGTTTGTCTATATGGGGCTGTTCCTGGTTTTTGTTGTTTATCACTTTTGCAGGGGAACGCCCGCATATTAAGAAAGAGCGTTTTATTAATCCGGGGTCAACAGTCAACGCCAACCCAAAGAAGGGGGTGCTCCTTTTCCCGTGGTCGCTGGAGGTTTGGGCGCTGTGGATGGACGAAATTCACGGCACCGGTTGATATGTGCCCGGTATTCGTAGGGTTTCATGCACAGATGAGATGAAAAAAAAGCAAAAAAAACGTTGTATGTGTCAATGTCAGGCATGATCCCAGGTCTTTTGGACCTATCAAATTAGCTGCACCGCCGCTTGTAATTTGAATGGCAGGAGTGTGTTGCAGGAGCAGCCGCGCAAGTCAAACATGGGGCCGTGCAAGTAAAGCGCAAGTAAAGCGCAAGTAAAGCGCAAGTGAAGCGCAAGTGACGCAGTGATGATTCATCATCATCATCATCATCATCATCATCATCATCATCATCATCATCATCATCATCATCATCATCATCCACATGGTCGAAAGAATCCGGAAGATTGCTAAATTTTCGCGCAAGTCGCGCGCAAGTCACGCGCAAGTCGTAGATGCCTTGGATCAGGAGTGGCCCATTTCTGTAGTTTGCATTTTCTTTGTTTCTGCAGATCCCAGCAATGAGTTGCAGCAGCAGCCAGCAGCAGCAGCAGCAGCAGCAGCCAGCAGCAGCAGCCGCAGCAGCAGCAGCCAGCAACAGCCGCAGCAGCCAGCAGCAGCAGCAGCAGCCAGCAGCAGCCAGCAGCCAGCAGCAGCAGCAGCAGCCAGCAGCAGCAGCAGCAGCCAGCAGCAGCCAGCAGCAGCAGCAGCAGCCAGCAGCAGCAGCCAGCAACAATTTGCAGCGGTGTAAACACTTGAGACCTCATACACTTAAGGGGCATGTTTTTGGGGGACCTCACTCTTATGAAGACCGCCGCTTGGATTTGCAATGAAAACATCCTGGGATAAGAGTTTTAATACGTTTTTTTTTTCCAGCTCAGATGGTGTAGGATTTCCTCCTTCCACAGGATGACTGACCTCGGATGTATGCATGATCGATTGAGGTGACGGCATTTTGAGGCGGTCTCAAATCTCTTGCCTAGGGGAATCATTCTTCCAACAACAATGGAACATGTAATGAGATAATGTCGCTTTTAATAGCCCGTGTATCTTTTTGTTGCGGTTGTTTCCTCAAAAAGTAAAGACTCCCCTCAAAATGGAGCTCTTTAAAGAACCATGGTTTTTTGAACCGGGTTTCCATTTTGTGTGCCCGGGTAAGCTTCTGGGCAAAAACAATACGAGCTCGCCCGGGCAAAAGGAGCTCACCCATGACGAAGTTCCTTACTTCGGAATTATTTCAGTTTGGTACTCTATGTGCACAACTGAGACATTTCTAGTAGTGTGTGTGTGTGTTAGTTTGCTCCCATACCGGGGGCCAACTGATTCAGGGCAGACCACCCTCTTAATTGCATGACATGCATTCCACGCCCTGCGGGTCGAAAGTTGGACGCCCACAAAGCAACGGAATCAAACCCGGCAGGACAAAGCAGAACACCATACAGAAAACAGAACAACGAACACACAAACAACAAGCAAGGTGCTCGTTGCGTTTCTGTGGTCAACTGGTCATCCATGTCCATCCATTTCCCGCTCATTTGCTTGCCTTTGAAAAGTAGCCAGACAAGACGACTAGAGGGACCAACCACGCGCGGCGCACACATACACACATCCTGTATGCAACACATTTATTCGGACCCTTGCATAAACGTGGCCGTCTGTTTTTGTGGGAAATTTGGCCTGGGTTTGTTATGTCCTCCCCGAACAACCTTTTTTGGGCTGAGGTTGGGCACAAGTAATTAGTGTTTTGGCTCCTCTTTGTAAAGTTTTGCAAATTGTCGGAAACGGTTTGGATGTGAAGTTTGTGGACTCAGCCCCGTAGAATCTTAAGAGTAAAATCATATTACAAGAGTAAACAATAAGGATCAACAGGTAGAAGAACAGGAGGAATCGTTGCTCACAAAAAGGGCATCCAAACCGCTTTCTGGATGTCCAAGGCCTCAGAAGGGGCTTAGCTTTCCATCTCAGGCTCCGATCTCTACTTGGAGATCATCAACCAGAGCCGAATTGACGCGGTCATCGGCAGCATCGTGACTCTGTTCAAGGACCCGGACGGGAATCGGCAAAATGCGAAGCGGCGGATTCGGAGCCGATGGCCAGGTGGGTAGCTGGAAGCGCTCGAGCCAGGAATCGAAGAAGATTTGGGCTTTTGACCCAATGAAACTCCACTGAGGCATCCTTCATCTGTATATCTGTTGTGCGTGAACGGCCATCGATCGACGGGTTTCGCCGTGAGATGCCACAAAGACTTCTCATGGATTCATGGCTTCGCGCCGCGCTTTCAGGGCTTTCCCCGCCCAAGGATCCTTTCCACTGTGTACAGTACAGTGCACTGAGCTGTTGAAGCTGCAAGGTTGCTCCGAACTTCCAAACACTTGTCTAAAGTCTTTGCTGTTTTTATGTTTGGTGTTTGTTGCTCTTGTTTCCTTCTGTTTTCCATTTCCAGGGTACCCTGGAAGGTCTTGAAGCTCCCTTTCTGCCCCGAAATCCATATCACTCAAATCCAACGCCAGGGGCATAACTAGGAGCATGCGGCTGTCGGCAAAGTCAATGTCACAGGATTTTTGCTCACTCGGAGCTGAGATTTGAAACCTCACTTGGGCAAGGTGAGAGTGTCGCCCAAAGGTTTCTACTTCGCTTAAGCCGCGCGAGGACGACTGGTGGCGCTGCTTCTGCGAGGCGCCCGACGGTGCGCTGAAGGGGCAGCTGCTGGCAGTCCTGAAGGCGACCCTCTCCGGGGAGGCCGGCGCTCGGGCGCTCGGGGCAGCTGGCACCGAAAGGGGGCAGGTTAGGTTGGAGTGCATGTGTGTGTGTGTCTTTGTTTGTTTTTTTGCCTGTCTGTTTGTTTGCTTGCTTGCTTGCGTTTTCCCCCCCTTTTTCGGTTTTTGTTTGTTTGTTTGTTTGCTTGCTTGTTTGTTTGTTTGTTTGTTTTTGTTTGTTTGTTTGTTTGTTTGTTTGTTTGTTTTTTTTGTTTGTTGGTTTGTTTGTTTGTTTGTTTGTTTGTTTGTTTGTTTGTTTGTTTGTTTGGTTTTGTCTGTTTGCTTGTTTGTTTGCTTGTTTGTTTGTTTTTTGTTTTTTTGTTTGTTTGTTTGCTTGCTTGCTTGCTTGTTTGATTGCTTGCTTGTTTGATTGATTGTTTGTTTGTTTGTTTGTTTGTTTGTTTGTTTGTTTGTGTGTGTGTGTGTTTGTTTGTTTGTTTGTTTGTTTGTTTGTTTGTTTGTTTGTTTGTTTGTTTGTTTGTTTGTTTGTTTGTGTGTCTGTGTCTGTCTGTCTGTCTGTCTGTCTGTCTGTCTGTCTGTCTGTCTGTCTGTCTGTCTGTCTGTCTGTCTGTCTGTCTGTCTGTCTGTCTGTCTGTCTGTCTGTCTGTCTGTCTGTCTGTCTGTCTGTCTGTCTGTTTGTGTGTGTTTGTTTGTTTGTTTGTTTGTTTGTTTGTTTGTTTGTTTGTTTGTGTCTGTCTGTCTGTCTGTCTGTCTGTCTGTCTGTCTGTCTGTCTGTCTGTCTGTCTGTCTGTCTGTCTGTCTGTCTGTCTGTCTGTCTGTCTGTCTGTCTGTCTGTCTGTCTGTCTGTCTGTCTGTCTGTCTGTCTGTCTGTCTGTCTGTCTGTCTGTCTGTCTGTCTGTCTGTCTGTCTGTCTGTCTGTCTGTCTGTCTGTCTGTCTGTCTGTCTGTCTGTCTGTCTGTCTGTCTGTCTGTCTGTGTGTCTGTGTGTCTGTGTGTCTGTGTGTCTGTGTGTCTGTGTGTGTGTGTGTGTTTGTTTGTGTGTGTGTTTGTTGTGTGTTTGTTTGGGTGGCTTGGGGCAGGTGAGGGGAGAGTGTTGAACAGAGAAACAAAGATGCAGGAACTAGTTGCAACTTGGAAGGCAGGGATGAGGGAATATTTGTTGTGCGCAGCAGTCAACATTGCTCAGCATGTTGCGGAAGGCAAGCTATCCCAAGTGCGCACTTGGGGTGTGCCTTTCTGTTCGCCAACGCGATATTCCTTTCCCTTCCAACCCAGTAGGCACCGAAACTCGGCAAATCTGCATGGCAGCACCAGGCCCACCTAGACCCATGGTTGTCATTGTGTGTTGGCGCCTCCAAGAGGGATAGCACATGCAAGTGTTTGTAGAGGTTTTGTCAATTTGAGGTTCAGATCGTGGACGCGATGGACACCTTGACCGCTGCGCTGAACATGGTACGCCTGGTCGTGCCTTAGTCTGTGAAAGAGCAACCCGATTCTGATCGCCAAATGTGGAGGGAATCAACCACTGGGTTCGAGTCAACCTTGGGGTAGTTAGAAAGTTGGATGCAAGACAAATCAGTGGGTTCTCAAAGCCCGTTTTTGTTTGGTTAGGTGTTGAAAGATGGAATCAACCCTGCGATGGTGTCAAGCACGTTTCTATCTGGACAACTAGGGACTGGCTTAGTCCGAGAAAGCAAACTTTGTCAATATCAACCCTATTAGCATAGATCTGATCAGTCTATCTTTCTTTGGGTTTCTTCCGTTAATCTGCGACAGTCAGGTGGCCGCATGTGAGCATGCCCCGGTAGGACCTGAAGGGCAAGAGGGTGTTTCCAACACAGGTTGGCATCCTTTTGGTTTCGCGTTACAGCCATCGCTGGCACCTCCCGGCCCCTGGACGATGCCCCTGAAGGTAAGTCCCAAATGAACAGTAAACATTGGTGGTACTATCGGGAAAGTGAGGAGCAAGTAAGCCCCAAGTAGAACTGTATTCTCGTCTTGGGTTTAGGAGCTTGTGGCGGGAAATCTTGAAATCTCAGATGAGACACAGTTGCGCAGAACTTGACCGCCCGTTTCGCCCCATGCTTGTGATGACCCAACCTTGATCTTCCAGTTCAGCCAGAGGTCACCTAGGGGTAAAACAGACCCCGTGATGAAGTGCTTTACTTTGGGATTCTTTCTTTGCAACTTATTGCCAGCTAGATAGGCGCGCCTTCCCTTGTGATTGGGCGCAATGAACCGTACTCGAGGCAGACCAGGGGTTGGATCATGACGCGGGCTTTGTGGGTTGCAAACTAGGTGCTCTCCAAGATGCCGCAAGCGGCGCCGCTCAAAGAAGCGCTGGCTGACTTCGGCCTTGAGGCTAGGACTGCTGATGTTACTGTTTGCTTCTGTTGCTTCTGTTGCTGCTGCTGCTGCTGCTGCTGCTGCTGCTGCTGCTGCTGCTGCTGCTTTGGCCTTTGCTGCTGCTACTGCTTGTGCTGCTACTGCTTGTGCTGCTGCTACTGCCTCTGCTGCCTCTGCTGCTGCTGCCTCTGCTGCTGCTGCCTCTGCTGCTGCTGCTGCTGCTGCTGCTGCTGCTGCTGCTGCTGCTGCTGCTGCTGCTGCTGCTGTAGCTTGAAGCAGGTGTGTGTGTGTGTGTGTGCGTGTGTGTGTGCGCGTTCACTCGCCAACCAACAACTCGGGGGCACAGAGCAAGGGCTTGGAGTGAGGATCTTACTTGCCTCTGCTTGAGCTCGTGGTGGTATGTGTCCTTGGGTGCGGCACTTTGGGTTAGTGTCAAATTAACGTTGGATTCCCTAGATTTTGCAAGCACAGAGCAAGGATGACTCTGTGGGCATTGCATCCCATTGCCTTGCAATCATACAGTGTTACATGATTCCATACGCCAAAGCAATGCATTTCCATTTATTGGTTGGTGTTGGTTTCGTTTTCCAGACAGTCCTGGATGCTGCGGGAGGTTGCCTTTTGAATCATCAAGACTGCGGCGGGAAGAACACCGTTAATTGTTCATTCTTTGGGAGGGCAATGCAGTGCAGCCAAAGAGGTCTTGCAAGTGGATTTGGACATGCTGTACGGGATGACCTGTTCCACGTACTATGAAGTATACGTCCAGTTGCGGGTTCACTTACCAGCAGCGGCATGTTGATCAAGTAGCAAGCAGCATACATCCCGCCCGGGCTCCCGGACAAGTCGGTGGTTCAGAGGCGCTCTTCTTCACTTTTTGTTTGATGGTTTCCAATGGAGTCAACCCCAGAACGGGTTCCCTTTATCTACCTTTCGGGTCGCTGCCCGCAACTGGGACTCGAAAGGCGAAGTTGGGGAACATCTCGAAGCAGATCGACGCGGAGCTGGGGATCCTTGCGCACGAGTCAGGGACAACTTCTGCTTTGTTGCCCAGCCAGAATTGTCATTTATTGCGTTCCCTACCCGGTAGCTTGCATATGGGGCGCCGTACTCCAATGACCCTTTGCCTCCCATGTTCCCTTTGTGGGTACAAGGGACATTATGCGTCTTTTCTGGCTAGGGGTGTGGATGTGTTGCACGTTTTACGTGTTTAAGACTCACATGTTTCTTTTGCATTTGACGTTCAGTCAACAAATCCAGTCTATGGTCAGTTTGGGAGGAATATGGAGAACTCACTCAATATCCCACACACAAGCAGAGGACTCACTCACTCGTTTATTTCCTTGCGCGTACAGTAAGTAAGTGCATGTTAGCATGTTTATTGCATACCGTGTCTTAGTGGCTCCCCTCTTTTCAAGATTGATGTTTTGACACATGTGTCTGTTGAATAGCTTCTCTGAGGACGTCGACGGGAGGATACTTTGCAGTTTCTATCGAATGGAGCTGCATATAGACCTGCTGCTAGACCCAGTTTACATGGGATCATTCAGGCGAACGTGGCAAGCATGTTGGAGAGTTCTCACGATCGCTTTTGGGGGTGCATTCATGCCGACTTTGTTTTCAGGGTTAGAAGGGTTGTCGAGTATAGTTTCAAAGCACCACCGAAGCTCGCCACAAAACGTGGTCAGCCAACCAACATGCCTTTCCTTCTCCTACTTGCGAGGTTGACAACTTGAGTAGGGGACTGGGGAGAGGCGGTCCCTTTCCGATCAATGTATAGTTTCGTCCATTGGGCATGCCTAGTGTCTGTTTTGTGAATGTGTAATTTGCTAGATAGACAAGCGCAACCGCCCTTGTGATACTCCCGATGTTGATTGGTCAAAGGAAGTTTAGAAGGAACTTCCGTGTTACGGCAACTAATTGAAAGCTATCTCTCAGAGACAAATGACAAGAGAAGGAATAAGCCCGCGAGAAAAAATGCGCGCGCGTGTGGCAGGGGAAGAGAAAGTCGCAAAAAAGCGTGGCCCTGTGCGTGAATCGGCATTTTCGCAGATGAGAAAGTCGCAAAAAGCGTGGCCCTGTGCGCGAATCGGCGTCTCCGGAGATGCGAAAGCTAGCCTGTCCGCGGCGTCTGGTCGGAGCGGGCTCGGAGCGGGGTCGGAGCGGGGTCGGAGGGGGTCGGCGCCGGGCCCATTGGCACGGCAACGCAGAGGTTTCGCAAGGTTTGAATTGCGTGGCAGGCGCAGCATTTTGGTGAGGTCGGGTGCGGATTTCGTGGCAGGCGCAGCACTGTCGCAAGGTCAACTTTTCTCAAGGTTTGAATTGCGTGGCAGGCGCAGCACTTTCGAAATGTCAGGCGCAGATTTCGTGGCAGGCACAGTACTTTCGCAAGGCCAAGTATAGATTTCGTGGCAGGCGCAGCACAAATTCGTGGCAGGCGCAGCACTTTCGCAAGGTCAAGTACAGATTTCGTGGCAGGCACAGCACTTTGGCAAGGTCAGGAACAGATTTCGTGGCAGGTGCAGCACTTTCGCAAGGTCAAGTACAGATTTCGTGGCAGGCGCAGCACTAAAATGAGAGAGAGAGAGATAGATAGATAGATAGATAAAGAGATAGATAGATAGATAGGTAGATAGATAAATAAACAGATAGATAGATAGATAGATAGATACATAGAGAGATAGATAGAGAGATAGATAGATAGATAGAGAGATAGATAGATAGATCGATAGACAGATAGATAGGTAGGTGGATAGATAGATAGATGGATGATAGGTAGATAGATAGATAGATTGATCATCAAAAGAGAGAGAGATAGATAGATAGAAAGATAGATAGGTAGATAGATAGATAGATAGATAGAAAGACTGGATAGAAAGTAGATAGAAAGAAGATAGATAGACAGATAGATAGATAAATAGATAGATAGAGAGATAGGTAGATAGATAAAAGGAGAGAATAGATAGATGGATGATAGGTAGATAGATAGATAGATAGATAGATAGATTAGATAAAAAGTAGATAGAAAGCAGAGAGATAGATAGATAGATTAGATAGAAAGTAGATAGATAGACAGATAAATAGATAAACAGATAGATAGAGAGATGGGTAGATAGATAAAAGGAGAGAGATAGATGGATAGAGAGAGAGAGAGATAGATAGATAGTTAGAGATAAATAGATAGATAAAAAAGATAGATAGATAGATGGATAGGTAGATAGATAGATAGGTAGATAGAAACAGAGAGAGAGATGGATAGATAGGAGAGATAGATGGATAGATAGATAGATAGATAGATAGATAGATAGAAAGGTAGAGAGATATAGAGAGAGAGAGAGATAGATGGATAGATGGATAGATAGATAAATAGACAGATAGACCGATAGATAGATAGACAGAGAGGTAGAGAGATAGATAGAAAGAAAGAAAGAACGATAGATAGACAGAGTGATAGATGCATAGTTAGATAGAAAGATAGATAGAGAGATAAGCAGATAGCTACAGAGATAGATAGATACACGAGAGATAGATGGAGAAAGAGAGAGATAGATAGATAGAAAGATAGAGAGATAGATAGAGAGATAGAGAGATATAAATAGAGAGATAGAGAGAGAGGAAGATAGATAGACAGATAGATAGATACAGAGAGAGATAGATAGATAGATGGATAGATAGATAGATAGATAGATAGAGAGATAGATGCGTAGATAGATAGAAAGATAGATAGATAGAGAGATAGGTAGATAGATACAGAGATAGATAGATACACGAGAGATAGATGGAGAAAGAGAGAGATAGATAGATAGAAATATAGAGAGATAGATAGAGAGATAGATGGATATAGATAGAGAGATAGATAGAGAGGAAGATAGATAGATAGATGCAGAGAGAGAGAGATAGATAGATAGATAGATATATAGATAGATACACGAGAGGTAGATGGAGAGAGAGAGAGAGAGAGAGAGAGATGGATAGATAGATAGGTGGAAAGAGAGATAGATAGATAGAGAGATAGATAGAGAGATGGATAGGTAGATAGAGAGATAGAGAGATAGAAAGATAGATAGGTAGGTAGTTAGATAGATAGATAGATAGATAGAGAGATAAATAGATAGATTGATAGAAAGATAGATAGACAGATATTTCGATAGATACAATGAGAGATAGATAGACACAAAGAGAGATAGATAGATAGGTAGGCAGATAGATACATGGATAGAGAAGAGATAAAAGAAAGAACGCAAAAACAAGCAAAACGAAAGAAAGAAAGAAAGAAAGAAAGAAAAGAAGGGCGGAAGGAAGGAGAGAAAGAAAGAAAGAAAGGAAAACACACAGAATGACGGAATAAAGAGAAACCGGGAACAGGAAGAAGAAGAAAGAAAAGAAAGAGACACAAAACTATAGTGTTTATATTTTTGAAACTTCCGCCCTCCGGCTTCGCCGGCTCTACTGGGACAGTTTTATTTTGACCAACCAAACTCAGTGCTTCCAGGTCCCACTGTAGTAGGTGAGCAGGATATTGCATTATGTAAGTCCTAGAGGAAAGAAATCATATCAGTATAGTGGTAAGTGAAAGCTCCGCGAAAGCCGTAACAATGTTGCATTTGCTTTTCTCACAAAACACGGCCAAACAAACATCATCCACATAAACACCGTACCGTGGATGGACGAAATCCATTTCGCACCACCTAAGAAATCCTGGACTGATTCGATTCCCTTGTTACCAGCAAACGTTATGGTTTCATGGTTTCAAAGCGGTGCGAAACGGATATCGCAGCCATCCACGGTCGGAACCTTCAGGTTGCAGTCCCTGGGCTCCGATATGGATTCCCTGGCGCACACCAAGCGGGAGCGCATCGCCATGGTGGGGGGGGGGGGGTGCTGTGGGACTGGGGGCTCTGAGCGGGTCTGCTGGGACCTCTTCCGAATTTTTGACAGAAGCTCCACCAACCATCGAGAGTCACAACTCACTCATCCCTTCTGGCCGGGGGCGGGTGCAAAAGCTGTGGCAGAGTAAGGGTGTTTTCTCCTTAAGATAAGGTTTGGGGGCGCAAGAAAACCAATTCGAGTCAGGATCATTGGGGACACATGCCACAAAAACTAGTTAGCGAGCTGGGCATCTCGGTGTATGAGCTGCCATCTGTTGTGCTGAGCTCAAGGAACCTGAAGGGATGGCAAAAAGTTGGTGTTCCGATGATCGAACACGCGTGGTCCCAGGTTGCGTCCTGTTAGCTTCCCAGTTGGGTAGGTCTCCCAACTGGTTGCCTAAAGCCTAACAATATGTGGGTGCTCTCTTGGAATCTTTTTTTTTGCTTGGGTTCGCTAAAACAACTTCTTGCTGCAAGCAAAACATGTGCTTGTGTTGATCGTATTGTTGATCACATGGGGTGTGCGCAAAACTCAAGCATGAAGCCCATATATGCCTGCTGCTTGTCAAGGAACCCAACAAGCAAAACTGTTGCTAGTTTTGTCGATCCGTTTCTATTTTAGGACACCCCCCAATTGGTTCAAGCAAGTTGCCCAAAAGGTGTTCAAGGAAAATCACAAGGAGATTTGAACACCAGCGGTGTATTGCAATGTTGAAACAGCAGTCGGCCGCCCCCCTAGGCTTCCCCGGTTGCTGAGCGATGCCATGGTGCGTTTCCATTTAGTTTCCCGTTCATCCGAAAAGGAATCGCCTGGCGCCCACAGGCGCAAAGTCTCCAGGAAGCCCTGTACAATGTTGGGATGGCTTGCAGATTGTAATTAGGACGTTCTAAGAGGACACCCATGTTGGGCGATCCCTTGAAACAAGAGCAAAGAGCGCCATGAGGATACGGGACTCACAAACTCTGCAACAAAACCGCCGCAAATGATTTTGACAGTACTCTCGCAGATCTCGCAGCAGCCTGTATAAGAGGCGGCAAATTTGGGCTTTCTCTTTGGCCCCGTTCTGGAGGCACTGATTTGAAATCAACCAGCCCTGTCCAAGCAGCCAGGTGGCGCATTTGGTCAGCAGATTACGAGAGATCCTCGCAGAAAGCTGATTGAAAAAGGAGCCCTGGCATTGCCAGGAATTCCCGGGCTGCACTCATGATCCCATGAAACAAAGGGCGCTCTGACATGGAAGCCATGTTTCAGGGGAGCCCTTGTTTTTTGCCCTATTATAACTATGCCAGAGAACCCCCTTTGAGCATGACCGCGGAGGCACAAGAACCCCTACCGGGCCTATGGGCTCATTCACGATCACATAATATGGCTTAACGGAAGCCATCTTCATCTTTGCAAACCATGGGGCCATGCATCGGCTGGCGAATCCTGCCCTTGTGTAATATTGAATTTGAGGTGATCCGCTAGAGAAAGGGGCTGCAACTAGATTGCAAGTGCCGCACCGTCGCGAGGGTGTGTTTGTTTGTCTGTATGTCTGTCTGTCTGTTTGTCTGTCTGTCTGTCTGCCTGCCTGCCTGCCTGCCTGCCTGCCTGTTTTTCTGTTTGTGTGTGTGTTCTTGTGTGTGTGTGTGCTTGGGCTCAGTGCCTCACAGCGAGAGTGATGTGTCGATCTTTCGTTTTAAAGAGTCGAGTCAAGGTCTTAGATTCTAGCTCAGCCGTTTCTTTCTATTGAGCCTTCTTGCTTCTGGAGGCCGAGCCCGAAGGCGCGGGCGATCGGGCGGTTATGGCGGGAGGAGCGGCATTTTCTCCATTTGCAGTGGAGCAACCCGGTGATCGTTGAGATCTCTTCTACATATCGACATGGCACTGTCTCAAATTTGTCAAAGCGACGGCATGCGGCGGCCATCTTGGTGCGGTTCCGTAGCAAAGTATCCGCACCAACCCAAAAGGGACCCCAAGAAAAACGCCTTGAGCAAGGTCGCAGGACCCCGTAGGTCGCTATTAATTTGGTATTGTTGTTGGTGGTATGGTGGTATTCGTGGGCGCCTCCCGGCGCCATTGGATCAACAATGGCTCCCGGGCTTGGCCAGCAATTGATTGCGAAATTAAACCGCCACTATGAAAAATGCATTGCCAAATAGGTCTCGTCCGTTTCCCTTTCTTGAAAGCAGAGACCCACAAGTTCCCCTACTCCTCGCAAAGTCCTAAGAACCTGTTTGGGTGGGGCAGGGCTTTCACATTCTTCCCTTTAAGGCCCTGTTAACGTTGGTTCGACCTTCAACTTTGGGCTTTGAGGAAAAGTGTCCAACGGCAACGTCAAGGCCGAAGGTTTGGCCACAGCTTCGGCAGCATGTGGGTGGTGCGAATTGTACATGTGAGACATTTGCCCGAATGGCTTGCGACAAAGGATGAGGCTTTGGCCAGCTTGGTTGTCCACAGTCGACCTTCTGATTTGTTGGGTTTCCCCTTTGTGGTCTATGCGCGTTCCAGTGGATCGGAGACTGGAAGACTTCATCCTCTTAAAGGCCCCTAGTCCACTTCCATGAGTGATTTCAGCAATCATGGGGATGGGAATTCGACTGTGGCATCACAGAAATGGACACTTCCTCTCTGAGTTCCTGGACTTGATACATTTTCGTGGCAAGCAAATCCATTCAGGAGGTGAGGACGTGTTTCCAACAACCCTGACATTCGCAGCTTTGCCCGGATCAAGTTCTGGGACAGACGTTAGGGAAAGCCCACGCACACAAGCCCAGACTGCTGAAAGGTTTCAGCAGCAACACACATTTGAAGCCGCAGCATTCCTTTTCGGACCCGGTGGTTTTTGAGAAACTGTAGAGGTAGTTTTGAGGATGTCAGGAAGGCTGAGACCTCCAGACGATGCAGCCACAAGAACTCCTTGGACTCTAGTCAGTGGTTCGTTCCCATGATGCGGCTGGCCAACTTACCGTTCAGACGCATTCCCGTGAAGCCTTTGGCGCTTTGTTGTGAGTTCCTTATACCCCGTTTTGGGTGGAATGGCAAGGATACCAGTAAGAAACGTGTCCTAAGCCGACATGGCCATGAGTTAAAATCGTAAACCCCATTTGTCGCAGACCGTTTGGTGATTGTGCCACCTGTGGCATTCCCTTGACAGTACTCCCCCTCCAAATTCACGAGTTGCTCTAACATCCGACGTGTTTTCTGGTTCTGCGTCAATCTGCAGTGCAGTCAACTGAGAATTCGGCGTTGCCCACATCAGCAAAGCCATCACTTCACTTCACGCGAACACACGCTTTTCCCTGCCCGATGAGCTGCGGAGCTGGTGGATGTGCAGACCTGAGCCCATGTTCGGGGCGATGATGTGCATGTGTGCCAGGGTTCACTTGGTTTCCCGTTTGGGGAGTTTCATCATAGCCCTTTGGGCGAGTATAGCGGCTAGCTGACAGTGAGCCTCCTTGTTGGTGTTGAAAGCGGAACTGGGATCCCGGAGCTCATTTGGGCTGTTGTGGGTCCCTGAATGCTTCTTGCGAGACTGAGGCACTGTCCGCCTCCGTTGCTGTGAGAGGCCGCGGAAGTTGGGAAGACCGAGTGACCAGCTAGGGCCCTTGATGCGATTTTTGGGGTCTCTTTGAACCCCCGTGGTTCTAACTGTTGTAATTTACAGACCTCACTTGGTGGCTTGGTGGGCAAGGGTCATGTTTGGCGCCCAGTTTACCAGATCATTTCTGGGATGGCCCCCAAGCACCGGAGGCATGCGCCGAGCCTTGGCGCGCCTTAGCGCCAGCCGGCAGAATTGGAAGGAGGTCAACCACGAGGCGCCGAAGCTGCGAGCGCAAGCGCAGGGGTCCAAAGGTGTCTGGTTGAAAGACGGGAAGCCCTCATGGGATCCAAACTCCGTTCTCCCAACCGCTCCTTCCCTTGGTTTCCTCCAAAGGTGTTTAGCAGGCTTGCAGAAAGGACTTGTTATGGTCGACTTTCGGGGGAAGAAGGGGGGGTGGTTGGGGACCGGAGAAGCAATCCAAACTTTCAACCCCACAAAGGCCAACCCAAACTATTCACTCCTTTTAAGGCTCTGACAATGCTCTTGAAGCCGCCCATCTTGGGTCATAACTTAGCACCGAAGGACTACTGGTACTGGCCCAATGTCGTGCCCTTGTAGTGCACCAGCGAGTGAGTGGGCAAAACCACGGAGGACCAGGTGGTAACTTTGTGAAAACCCAGGGAATCTTTAGGGGGAACCAGCAAAGGGGACGTTTCGAACGATGTTCGGCAACAGGATAGGTCCCCTTTTCAGGGTTGGTAAGGGCAACGCAAACCTTCACCCAATTTTGCCCTCCAAATCTGAGAGTGAACTATGCAGGGAATTAACAGCAACCATTTTAGCTCCAATAGAGCCAATTTTGACAGAACCAGTATCCCTGGTTTGGACGAATCTCTGGGTTGATGGCCATGTCAGCCACCACATGCCCAAGAAAAGACTGGTGTAGACCATTTCAGCCATGCCCACAGGCTGGTGTTAGACCATTTCAGCCACCACATGCCCACGGGAGGTTCGTATATAGCCAGCACTCCGATTCCCAAACGGCCACACCGCGCGTCGCCGCTCGATCGACGGCTCGATGGACTTCAGGTCTTAGCGGAGCTGCGGAAGGCCGAGTTCGTGGCCTTGGACTTGGAGCTCACTGGGCTCCACGCCTTTTGCCTCAGAGAGTTGAGTCGGAACGAGCTGAGCGGGGGAGAACAGCAAAGGGAGAAAACCACGGGAGGGAAACGCCGGTGTCGTGTTTTTTGCTATGGTTTTTTCTCCGTGTGGGTTGCTTCTGGGGCGGTGTGTTTTTGTCTTTTCAGTGTTTGAAGGTGTGTGGTAGTCTAGTAGGCGCCTGCTTTTGAGTGCGTTCTACGGTGCTTGTTTGTGTTTTTCTTCAGATCCCGACAAACCCGTCAAAAGGGGGGGTGGTCCCTTTTGGCTTCCCAGCTTCAACAAAAAAACACAAGGACCCTATTCCTTTCCGGTTCCCTTACCTCACCCGTTGTTATCACCCGAAAAGGGCTAGACTCGAACAAAAGACCAACAAGTCGTGTTGTCCGCTGGAAAATGATAAATCGGCTCCTGAAGTTGGAAATGGGTTTGAACTAGGCAGGCATTCCCCATTGAAACACAGCAACACTTTGTTTGCATTGCACGATTTTGCCTGTCCGGGTTACAGGGAAAGCAACAGGAGGTTGTTTGAACCATACTGTGGATGGACAAAATATTACACCACTTTGAAACCATGAGAAGCCATTGTTTGCATTTACAGGGGAAGTATCATTCTAGAGTTTCTTGGGTGGTGCGAAATGGATTGCATCCATCAGTAGGTGTTTCGCCCATTTCAAGGGGCTGCATCGCCCATGGGCGGTTTCTCCGAGCTCAAGAACGAGCGCTTCATCGGCGTGGAGCGGTGCTACTCCGCTCACCGGGAGGGTGCCAAAACCTTCCTGCCGGTGCAGGCGAGCGGGGAGGCTTCGACGTGTTGCGTGCGGGTGGCTCACTTTGGAAATGATTCCGAAAGGAATCAAAGAAGGGGCTCAGTGAAGCTTCATGGTGATTTGCAGTTGCAGGGGCACGTGCGCCAGTCGATTTGGGTGGCGGTTGTTCTTGCTTTTTGCGACTTAAAGGCCTACTTGTTCAGTCGCCCATAAAAAGTGCTCCACTCTCAAAAGGGCTCCTTGTTCCGACCAGGGTCACTGGGCAACTGGAAAGTGCACTGGTCATGGCTGGCGTTTTTTTCTTGGTTGCTTGACTGCACCTTGGAGGATGAACGTTTAGGCATTTTTGGGTTTGAAGATAGAGGGTTCCCGTTTTGCCTGTTTGAGGCGGTCTCTCTACTTTCGAGCACATTTGTTTGGCCTTTTGAACGTTTGCCTTGGTTGAGAATGGAGGGCCCCAAAAACTGGTTTGTTCCAGGGGTCTTTCCATTTGCACGAGAAGCTTGACAATATGAATTAGTGTTAGTGACTGGGGAAAACAAACGATGGCTTGACGGGTACTTGTGCGTTAGCAAGGTGTGTATAGAATAAACCAAGAGTCAATGGGTTCTGGTTGCTACAAATTGAGTTTCCCGAGTTTCCTAGAGCCTTTGTCGCGTTGTGAGCTACCAGGATGACTAGCCACGCGAGTAAAATCGCGCCAACCACAAACCCTGGCAAGCTGCAGAGTCCTTGTCTCCTCCTTGTAACATGTTGGGACTCAACCATCCCTCGTTATTTTCCACCAGAATGGGGGCAGGGTCTTCGTCCCATTTCGTCCCCAACCCTTGAACATATCGGGAGGGGGTTGATCTTTTTGATTGAGCTAGGGGGAATGCGTCTTTCATGGCCAAAACTCTGCCCCCCGCTTGGTGTGGCTTGCTTCGGAGCTTCCTACTTGGTTTCAAGAGATTTGGAGTAAACCCCCCAGTTCACCAATCCAAGCTGCCAGCGCGTGGATCTATGCCAAGATCAGGTGGGCCTTTGTGCAGCGCGCCGAGACTTCTCGAAGGGCGGACCCGAGCGGAAGCCTCGGAGCGGAGGCAGAAGGACCTAGATGTCAAGCGCCCGAGGCTCCAAGAGGATTGGTAGTCTACTGTTGGTTTGGGGAGGACATGGGAGAGCAACCCCACATTTCCCACCAAAACCAGGGGGCACAGCCCAATCGTCCCATGTCCTCTGAAAGAAGCATCTAATTGCATCCGGGGGGCTCATTTTTTCAGGTTAGTGCAGGGTATATAGTGCATTGTAATGCGCCAAAGTCAAGATCAATTTGACAATTGAAATCCCTCATGTGGGGCAAGGAGCATCTTCATACAGACTGTGTACGCTAGGAGCTAATGCGTTGTTTTTCTTGTTCTTCCCTAGGTCCCTTCATGTTTCCATGGGAGATCCTTGTTTTTCGTGTCCAACAAATCCTGGTGCGTTCCGTGAGGTCCTGTCATTGGGTCCTTTCGCCCGTGTCTCTCTATGTCTTCCCGCGGGAGGCGGCCGCGCACTCGACGGGCTGGGGGTCTTGCCACGGAGGCCGTCCCATATTTCCCCCTGAGAGCGACGCTGAAAAGCGTTCGTGGTTGGAGCCAGCCGCACAGAACTGCGCAGAGCTGTCTGAATAGAGAAAGATGATGACTGCCAATAAGGAGATCCACTTCCGAAAAGAAGGTTCCTCCAAGAATGGAGAGGGCTCTCTGGCTTCCCAGTAAATCAGTAGGGTAAATGGCAGCCCTCCAAAAGTGATTCTTCGAGGTTTCCATCATGGTTGCCTTTCAAAGAATCGTGCCTACAAATTTGCAAAGGGAACACCCATTGCCTTAGAGTCGACCTGTGGGCTTTTGGTGTGATCTTGGACAGGGTTCAGGGTCAACCTGGTCTAGTCCTGTGGGCAAATAAGCAGGGAATTCTAAGAAGTGACATCTGGTCGCGGATGGACGGGAATCAACGACTGGCAGGATCACGGCAAGGGTCCTTTCCATCTTCACAACCTTAAGCAACCGCGATTGAGTACATTGAACCAGTTGTGTGCAAACAACCAATTGGATGTGTTCATTTCCTTCTGAAGTCATAGCGCATAGCGTCTGTCCTGTTTTCCTTTTCCAGGGACCAAGTTTCTACCCTATTGCCAGGTTCTTGGTTCTTCGGAGCAACCCTGAAAAGCGACGAGTGAATCACTTTGTGCCGTCACTTGGACCATGGCAAGTGTCGGTGCACCTGGCAAGAGCCTGCTTCTTTGATAGGTATGCCCTTGAGGGAGTCAAAAACAAAGCAGGCCGGGTTGGGCCAACCGCTTGTTGTAAAAGCAAGTTGCAATAGGCCCAGCTTGGGAAGCCGCTTTGCTCTCAGAGACTTGCACCGGTACGCATTTGCGAGCCATGCTGATGTCCCAAGACTTTGCGTCGCTTGGCGGTTCCCAGGCATCTATACTTCTAGTTTTGTAGAGTTATACAAGAGGTGACATGCTCCACCAACAGATCTAACTTTTGGCAGGGGACGCCATTTCCCTGCATGCCAACAAGGGATGAACCAACAGCCTGATAGAGGCCACGTACCAGAATGCAGAAATGTGAAATCACAAAGGCATTCCCAAAGACATCACCAAAAACATGACTAGAAAGACGCCGTAAACGTACTCCACCAAACACGTTCCTTACAACACGGCCCACAAATAAAGCATTTCCAGGGACATCTCCAAAAGAACATCCAAAGATATCCCCGCAAGCTCCCCCAAAAACTAAGCCCAACCTCATCCTCACAAAGACATCTCCAAACACATCCCCACGACGCTCCGAACACCGCTGCGAAAGACATTCCCAAAAGAACGTTCAAAGATATGACCCAGAGACAAATCTCCAAAGACATGCCCAAAAGCCACCCTGAAAGACACACCACACGACAGCCTCGAAAGACAGTCCACCAGAGAAATCCCAAACCATTTTGTTCCAAGACAACCCTCCTCCCTCCCAAGGACATCATCAAACGAAGACACCATAGATTCTGCCAACGACATCCCATTGACAATTCCCAAAGACGTCCACGACACCCCCCCCCCCCCCCGTTATCCTCAAATGCATTACCCAAGACATCCACAAAGACACCCCCAACGAGCTCCCCCCCCCCTCAGATGCCATGCATCACCTTAGGAAACCGCAAAGACATCCCAAAGACAACCCCAAAGACATCCGCAATGACCTGCTGAGGCATTCCGCCAAGAAACCCTCCAAAGACATCCCGGGACACCCAAGACAACCACAAAGACCCCTCCAAGACAACCCAACACTGATATTTCCCAGGGCACCTGCACGCGTTCCAAAACATCCCCCAAAGTTATCCCCGAAGACATCGCCCACAACCCAGAGTCACCCCAGACATCACCCCAGAGAACCACTAAGACATCCCTAGAGACAACCCCAAAAACATCCCTCAAAGACATGCCCCCAAGACACCTTTCAAAGGCATCCCCACAAGCTCCCAAAGCATTGTAGCCGCAGCCTTCTGAAGGATCACGATGGGTGGCAATCTCAAGCCCTTCAAGGGACCCTTCACACAAATCTTCCTCGAGGTTTGCTTTAGCAGGGATGGGAATCCGGGTTTTTGAAAACGGCAAGCCTGTTTTGGGAGAAACCATGTCACCTTTTTGGGCCGAAAAACCGGGGTCTCTGCCAGCCAAGGTCCGTGGAAGCCGGCAGCACCTCGGAGCATGAGCCCGTCCAACCGCGTAAGGCCTGGCCGCGCGTGAAGATCATCACCGGCGCGGTGGCGATGGTGGCGGCGGTGGCGGCCCTCGCGTCCATGCACTTCCCCAAGAGGTGCCAAGTGCCAATTGCTGTGACCCCAGGAAGAAGACGGTACCCTCCCTTGCAATGTAGCCAAAGTGGCACCTCCCTTCAGCAAAATGTGAAGGCGTCTTTTGGGTGTCTCTGAATGGGAACATCTGACTGGATGCTCGAAGCCACCAAAGTGATACATACACGTCCTATGTTTCCCATATATCTAGCACCCAGAAGTGGTTCCGATTGCCCTGGGCCCCCGTAGGCGGCAACATAACTGTGCAATATGTTGCAATTATTGGTACATTTCAAGCCAGCATCAAACAGCGTATGTTTGGCGCAACATCTGGGGTAGACATGGCTCTTGCCAGAATGGAGATTCCGGATCGAGGTAGGTGTTTGATGGTGTTTGAACAACAGTTGTTTGTCGTGTTGAACAAATGGTTGGCCCAACCCTGGCAAGAGGTGCGCCAACCTTGGGGCGCTGCAGGGGAAGTTTGCAGAGGACGTTAACGAGGCCATGCTGGCTCACAGCAAGAAGCTCACAGCGGTGAAGGATCAGAAGGAGGCGGATGAGATCGTGCTCAATGCCATGAAGAAAGGCAGCTTCGCCTTAATGCAAAGCGTGTCTTTGTTTGTCTGTGCGTGTCTCTCTCTCCCTCTCTGTGTCTGTCTGCTGGTGTCTGTGTGTCGGTCCATGTGTGTGTGTGTGTGTGTGTGTGTGTGTGTGTGTGTGTGTGTGTGTGTGTGTGTGTGTGTGTGTGTGTGTGTGTGTGTGTGTGTGTGTGTGTGTGTGTGTGTGTGTGTGTGTGTGTGTGTGTGTGTGTGTGTGTGTGTGTGTGTGTGTGTGTGTTTGTGTGTGTGTGTGTGTGTGTGTTTGTGTGTGTGTGTGTTTGTGTGTTTGTGTGTGTGTGTGTGTGTGTGTGTGTGTGTGTGTGTGTGTGTGTGTGTGTGTGTGTGTGTGTGTGTGTGTGTGTGTGTGTGTGTGTGTGTGTGTGTGTGTGTGTGTGTATGTGTGTTTGTGTGTTTGTGTGTTTGTGTGTTTGTGTGTTTGTGTGTTTGGTGTGTTTGTGTGTTTGTGTGTTTGTGTGTTTGTGTGTTTGTGTGTTTGTGTGTTTGGTTGTGTGTTTGTTTGTTTGTTTGTTTGTTTGTTTGTTTGTTTGTTTGTTTGTTTGTTTGTTTGTTTGTTTGTTTGTTTGTTTGTTTGTTTGTTTGTTTGTT